AAAAAAAAAAAAAAAAAAAAAACTCCTCTCTAAAAACTCCCAAAGTTTTTGGCAGGAGCTTTCGAGTCAGGCCCGGGGTAGGGCCTTGATCTGAGCGTTCATTGGCCAACCCCATGACCAATGGGAGTGCAGAGTGCCGGGGAATTGGGAAAGATGGGGCGTGGACACATCTCTAGGCCACGCCCCGGCCACGCCAAAGTGTTTGCTGCGGCCGCGTGGGCTGAACCGGGTATGGCGAGTCCTTCCCTGCTGCGTAGAGGCCGAGTAGTAGCTTCAGTGAGCTCTGACTCTCGTCTGACTTCACTCCGACACGCCACTAGGCGAGGGGAGATAGTCAAAAGAGATTTTTCGGGAGCTCTCACCACCCGGGGTTGGGGGAGTTGGGGGCTGAGAGTTGAAGGGGGAGGGTTAGTCCTGAGATTTGGTGGGGTGCAAAGCCCGCCTCTCGGTGGACAACGGGACGCTCTGATGGCCCCCTGGCTTTCGTCCTCTTTACTTCATTCTGCTCTCATCCCAAGAATCTGGGTCCTTGGTAAAGTCTTCATCTTAGCCGAGCCTCTGCTCTGACGCTTCGGCCCTGAGTCCTGGCCCAACTCAGCACCGCGTCGGCCCCGCTGCCTTGTAGGAGATGCTCCGGGAAGTTAGGAGGAGGGGCGGCCGCAAATTAGTTTTATTCTGAGCTTCCACACAGTGACAACTTGAACAAGTGACTTTTCAAACAAAATAAGATGGATGGCTACGATGTCTCCTTTAGAGGCAGCCAAACTTTCCCCGGAGCCTCAGCGACAGCAAAACGGGCTGCCTCCCGAAAGCCGGGAGAGCGGCACTCGCGTCCCCTCCTCTGCGGTACCTGGTAGGAGATGCCAGCCTCCTTTCTCCGCCACATCCCCAGATCACGTGGGGGCCGTTGTTTTGCAAGTGCCCGCAAGTGCAGATTTCCACGGGGTTCAACAGTACTTTCAATTCAGTGACAGTTTCCTCTGGAACCGGTTGGGCCTGGTCGCTGGAGGAGCTGCAGTGGTGGCCTGCGTCCTCTACTCGCGCCTTGGGTCTTTAGAACGCAGGGTGGGTGTATGGGGGGGGGGAGGTTCTGCAACATCAACATCTCTATTTTAAGAATTCGTTCTCATTTAAATTATAGTCAGAACGGATTTCCCCAGCCCCCTCCCAAACAAACCACAGGCCACCCAGATGAGCTGTTCTTGCACATTTTCAGGAAGAAAATAAAATAAAAACAATAATGAAACCACTAAATCTTTTGTTTTCGGTTGTTCTAATAAGCCTCTCCTAACGGAGCTTCTGTAGCATTTTTATTTCCCTTCAGCACTAAGACGTCTTACCAAATAAACTCAGAAAGGCAACTGAACTTGCAGTGTCTATTTCAAGTTCAGGATTTGGCCTCGTTAAATTAATTTCTAGTAGCTTCTAGTGTCTTCTTGCAGATGCTGACATTTTAAGCTTTTGATTTTCTCCTTGAAATCAATGACTTTCAATCAACTAGCACTGAGATCTCTCCCCGTCCCTCTCCCTTTCTTCCCCTCTCCTCCCTTCTCCCCACCCCCAGCTCTCTTTTACTAAAATGTTTTCTTGCCCTGCTCCTCCAAGCCGAGGTGAAGTACTGTTTCCGCAGAGATGAAAGGGTGTGGTCGGCTGAGGCTAGGGGCGTCGGGGGAGGGAGAGAAAAAAACCAGTCCTTTGGATCTAGCTGGAGGCAAAGGAGAGACAAGTACGAGGCACTGGAGGCTTTGGCAGAGGGTTCTAGCTAGACGCGGATGGGAAGGCAGCTTCTCTGGAACTTCACAGCCTCCCGGGAAAGTCACTAGCGCAGTGTGTGTAGGGGTGTCCATGACACCTCTCCTCTCTTTTCTCGTACCACTTCCAATTCAGACCTCGCACTAAGCCCAACTCACGGTCCTAAAAAGGATGCATTTGTGCCTCACCTCACTTTCATCCGTTCCAGGGTTTGGGACCCTCCGGGCATGGGTGCAGGCTACAACTTAGGGGGAAAAAACTTAACACTCGGGTTTCCTACAGCGTCCACGACCCTCATCTGCCGGGCTTCAAGGCCTGGATCGTAGGGCAGACGCAGTGAAGGCGAGGCCGGGAGGGCGAGTATCCTGCCGAGTCCCGCCTGAACGCTTGCCTCTTTCTCCACAAGGCCAAAGGCTGGATTGCAAGTTGCAACTTCGCCCTCACGCCCCTCTGCATTCCCAGGCAACCACATCAGCGCCATCCAGGGCCTGCCCGGAGCTCCCGGAGGCCAACTCGAAAAGGAAGCTTTTGGAGCGACCCTCTATCCCCTCAACTCCCTTCCCCAGGCCCAGGCCTCCCGCCTGCCGGCCCCTGGTCCAGCTCTGAGTCAGCAGACTCCCCTCCTCCTTGCTCCCCACTCCTCAGAACCAAGAAAGCAGCAGGAAACCCTGGGCTCGCCGGAGTTCAGGTCATCTCCTGTTTTTTGATGGACTCAAACTCCGACTAAATGAGCGGATGTGCCTGCGAGATTGGTCTCAAAATAGAAGTGGCCTTAGTATTTTAGGATACTGCAGAAATCCTTATTTCTTCCGGAGAAAAACTCTATAATGACTCCTAGCACTTCCCCTTTCAATATTTGTGCAACTTTATCTCCACCAGCAAGTTGCTCGGGTGACGCAAATCCGCCCTTGTGTATTACAACTACCAAAATAAATGCACGGAAATCAATTCCCTTCTAGCAATGAAAATATAAATATACAGCTGCGACTTTCCCCTTTAATCTTTGCTTTTCTAGCGGCTCCGGGCTGTGGCGAAATGAACTGGCCCACAACTACTGAAACCAGAGCTATTGGCCCAAAGCTACCGAGGGCAGTAGCAGGGGTCCCGCAGCCCTGGGGACCTGTTAGCCAGGAGAGTTGAGGCCGTAGCAAAGAAGAGAAAAGGGCCTGAATAAACCAAATTGGCTTGAACTTGCTCTCCACAACCGGGACTCTAACTGTGGCTGCATTATTTTAGAAGATAACACACTGAATGGGGTTTCTGACCATTTCTGATCACTTTCTTTCAACTCTCCCCTTCACTTTTCCTGGGCAGACATAGCCAAAGAATATTTTACCACATTGGAAATGGAAAAGATCAGAGACTATCAGGTGCATTTTACAATTTAACAATATAGCTTATGAGGATTTAGCATTGAAAAAATGGACCTAAATCAGTGGCTTGTGCACTGACTGAGGCCAGAGCTGGGTGGTATCATCCTTCGGTTCTCCTTGTCTTTGGAGGCCCCATACTTAATTCATCAGTTCAAATTTTTGCCCTAACTCCAGGGACAAGGATCCATACTGAGTATGAAAGATCAATGATAGCAAATGCTGGGCTTGCTTTATTATAAGAACACAACTCTGCAAGGGCTTAAACTGGTCTGTGTATCTGCTTTTGCTGTTTCTGTGTAGACTGTGAGCAAAATAATATGCAAGGTAAGTGCACTCTGGACTTGGGATGCCCTCCCATTTTTAATCTGCTTTCAAACATGAAAATAATTAAATATTCCCAGTCAGAAAAAGAAGGAAACAGGAGTTACTCAGCTATTTGAGAGATTTAGCAACAATGTAGGAATCTGTGTATATTATGTCTGTTGTTCTGCCAGCTGGAGGTTTAGAGACTGCTGGGCCCACACTAGCATTCAGTGGTAAGTACAGGACTTCTGTTCCTTGAACCTGCTAGATACTAACGTTTAGGACTCTAGAGGCCCCCTGTAGACATATCCCACGACATACACACACACACTCTTTGCATTATTATAAAAGGCCACAACTCTCTTTTCTTAGAAACTACTTAGAGTCATTTCAGAGTTTTTGAGGAGAGTAGACTTCTCTATAGGGTCAGAAAAACAAATAACAGTATAATAGAACCACAAGCATTCATAGCCATTTGATTTATTCTTTTTATTTTTCCCCATTTCCCAGGTGTGACAGACTTGCACGCGGCCCTGCCTCTGAACTTTAGCCACAGGTCTAACTTCAGAGCCTCAGACAACCCTTTAAGTCTATCCCAATTGCCCTTTCCTCTTACAAAGTTTCTAAACTTAGTAGCATCTCTGTAAATTGATCACCCAGGAGATTATACCAAACTAGTTAACCTACGACATGGTCAACATAAGGAACAAGCCTACTGTACTGGTACATATATGTGGTGAATGTCTGGTCTATGAAAATTAAGTCAACCTAAGGAGGTGGTCAGGGTAGGGAGGTGGTCAACTATGGAGGTTCTACTGTATATCCATTCCCCCATTATAGGATATAGCACTTCACTCTCTCTCTCTCTCTCTCTCTCACACACACACACACACTGTCTAAGAATCTTAGAAGCTTTGGGTGAGAGGGAGCAAGCCTGGCAGTTTGAGCTTTTCAGCCTTTATAAGTCATCTTCTCTGTGTCTAGCCAAGGAAGACCCCAAACCTCATAAAGCCTGCAGCTGAACCCATTTCAAATGGTACATTATAACACAGACTTGCACATATTCGAAATGAAATCATATCCCCATCAGAGTAAAATATGAGAGACCATGCGTAGCATGTAAGAGTTTAAATATTTCATTCCACTGGCTCCTATTTGGTAGCTGTAGACAGTGCTCTCCCACTCCCAATGTGTTGTCCATTTACCTTGCAGAAACCGGAGTTGTTGCTTAAATTATTGAATCTGAATAGCTGGTTGTTAAACCAGGAAAGGAAGTATGGGTGAAAATCACATGTTGCGAACAACCCTGGTACTAGGAGGGAGACGTGAAAGTCATTCCTAAAGCAGTATTTCTCTAAACAAACAAATAACCCTTCCTTCCTTCACTTGGAGACACATTTTCCAAGTTGGAACACAGGTTCTGAGGACAGAAGAGGGACTCAGGCCCAGACTAATAAGCAGGCATGGGCAGGGAGCTTTTGAAGGGGGGA